AACTACTATTGTCATAAATAACACATTCAATTGAACTAAACTATGCATGCCTATTTAAATATATGTACACATGGCTTGTGTACGTCGTATATATACATATATATTATTCATACCTTCGGTGTATAGGACGCAAGCAGATTCTGACATCAAATTTTGGGGTAAAAAGTGCGTCTTATACACAGAAAAATACGGTAAGTATAATACATATAACACTAGATGATACTACCAACTCTCCTGTACACTTACGTTGGTTTTATGAAATATGACCCGAGTCTAGACTACTGCTAGTTTCCAGTTTTGATATAAATATAAACTGGAGTAATGCATCGCTTTACAAAGACGAAAAATGAAGCGTAAAATGTTTTTTTTTCGGATTTTCCCAACGATTAGGCCTAGGTTAACTTTCTCCATCCTCTTGCACCAGTCCACAACGCTCATTCCCAAGAAATAAACAGCAGTGACGTTCCATAAGATCTCAACTGTTAAAAGTATGTTTAGATTGAAAAGTTGATGGTCGTTTACCGTGGCAATTGCTATTTTGGAAAACAGCCAGACTTAGAAGTAAGAAGGTACTGTTTACATTCGTCCTGAGTTCATAACAGAAGTATGGAAACCAAAAGTTGGAAAACGTATTATGTTTAGTGTAGCGTCGCCTTTTAAGGCCACACGCCACTTATTATGGCCCGAATGCTAAACTTGTAGTTCGTGTTAAAAGATATCCACTGAAAGCTCGAAAACGTTGTTTGTTTGTTTTTAAGTCAAGATACAAGTCATAATTTACGCAGTATCTCAGAAGTTACTTAAAATTACTGTCATTTGTCGTTTTGGAAAAACCTTTGATTTCTATTAATGTTTCCAGAAGTGCTAAGTATCGATTCAGATCAAAACAAATTCACATTAAATTAACACAAGTAGATTGATCTCCACGACTATCATATATGGAAAGTTGTATTCGAATGAGTGCTAACTAATTTTCGAGGTTTAATTTGAGCTTTTAATTTAATCAATAATCACACTTCTCTTCACAGTTAAATATGTTCTCATTGTACGATTCTTCAGCATTGTAACACAAAACTTGCATGTTTTTCATTTAAACTATGTTAAACCGCATTTATACAGTATCTCACACCCATCCGAAATTAAATCTGTAATCGTTCTTTTACTTGACGTTTGTTATTAATGGGTAAACATCTGAAGTTCACAAATTAAACATACGGTTAATAAAGGAAACATTCATTGTATACGCACAACTAAAATAGTTATTCGATTGTGTCATACAAGAAGTAAATTACTCTATATATGAGTTCTCCCAAGTAAGGTATTAAATATTTGTGAAATATAATGTATTTCTCTGAACATTAGTTGTAGTAAATGTATCCTCAGGTTATGACACTACTCGACGATCAATTATTTCATGAACGGTTAACTTCTCCTGTATTTAAATGAACCTATCGTATCACTTCTGTAACAGTACCACTACGCAACAAGAGGTTGTTGGCGAGTTCACCAAATCATTAGCCTCGTAGCGCATGATGGGAGATTTAATGTTTGAAAGCAATTTATACGTAGAAGAGACATAACCCAGATCAGAAGTCTGACATCGTATGATTTTATGTCGAGCAGTATCTGTTGAATACTTTTTTATTATCGTTTAAAAAGAAAATATTTCAATTCGAACTGTATTTAATGTACATAATAAATAGACCACGTTCACCCTACTACGGAGTCACCTTAAATTAACGATATATACGACCAAACATTTGTCTATGATGAAAAAAAAAAGATACATGTATACCTCCAACACACTAAGTAATCCAGTACATTATTTTACAAGATACTTGTCTAAAACATTTTTTCACGCCTGTATCTCGTGTTGTGATTACTGGTCGTCACTGTAGAGCAATACGTTGTGATATTATTATATTATACATACACACATATTGTTATTCTGGAGAAGCTTTAATACAATAAATATATCTCACCTTGATTATTTTGTTTTGCAGTCTGAGTCCATTTAGAGTGTTGATTGCCTTCTCAGCGTCTTCTGCACGAACGTAGTTAACAAAACCGTAGCCCAGACTCTGACCTACTGATCAAGAAATATTTGTTAAACATTGAATTACAGGCCAAGAAACGCATTCCCTCACAATTGAACCCAACTTGCAAAACAAACAGTGCGTACCCACACAGCCCACACAGACTGACAAGGTAAGCTACGAGCCTCAAAAGAGCCCAAAATGACAGCCTTCGAGATGAGTCCATTCAGTTTAATATACAAATCGACACTGAAATAGACACTAAAAAGCATCGTCCCTGTGATCGTTCAATGATGATAGAAGTACACGTTATAAACAAGTGTACAGTAAGGAGCGGCGGGCCTGGACTTTTGTAAAAGATTGACTAAAAGCATGTCGTTTTTAAAAAGTCCTGGAATTGTTTTCTTACTCTACCCCATGACTGATTCAAATAGTTTTACTGTATTTTCTAAGTAAGCTGAGCAGATTTCGTCATGGGTAACAAGTAAGTGAAGTTTCATTAAAATGGGGAAAATACAAGTAGAAGGATGTTTACAAACAATTCCTGTTTGTTAATTGGTTGAATTTTGCGCAAAGCTACTCGAAGACTATTTGCGTTAGCCGTCCTTAATTTAGAAGTGATAGACTAGATGAAAGGCAGCTAGTTAACACCAACCAGCGTAAAAAACATGTCCTACTCTTACCAACGAAAAGTGGGATTGATCTTCACAGTATAATTCCCCCACGGCTGAATGGGTGAGCATGTTTGGTGATGAGATTCGAACTCGCGACCCGCTGATTGCGAGTCGATCGCCCTAACCACCAGGCTTTGGCAAATCCTGTCAATCGTGCGCTCACTGGATTTGATCCCCCCTCCTCATTCTCAAAAGGCCTGTCCCTGGCCACAAAATTCCTGATTTCAACCCTCATTATAGAACAAAGCATCTTAAATGTCGTACACTCAAGGTTCTATAGAAATCAAAAAGCTATCTGCATTTAGGTAAGGTCAGTCTATGTTGAGGGTTCCTAGTTTTGTCAATATTAACATCCTTTAGCTATGTTACTATTGTTTCATCTTATTAGTCTCTCACAACTTTCTATACACACCAGTAACCCTAAATGCGATTTTTACATTCAAAAAAACGTCAAATGAAGTAAGTAATAATGACTGATATATCGTTTTGATCAATGTTTTTTAATCGCAAATGTTCTTCAAAATTTACACGCTGTACCACTGGGGTTTTCCATTGAAAGCATGTTTATATGAAAAAAAACGGCGATCCGTTGTAAGCAATTCCTAAATTAAATTTGAAAATAATATTGTTAATGTTCCAGCACATTAAGTCGATAGTTTTACTTATCCATCATTCAATGACACAGGAACTCTCAGAGAAATTGTTACATTATCTATCCGAATTAAAAACAAAGTATTACAGGGTTAAGGTATTCGTTGAAAGTTGAAATGGAACTGTGGATAGTAGGTTTAGTTCAATAACTTATATCGGTATCTGCTTACTGGTTCTTCCGGAAAACTTCTAGTTTCCACATTTTACCACAAAAATAAAACTTTCACTGCCTAAAGACATGTATCATTTTAGTCTACAGCTGATATATGGGCAGGAAGGTTTAGAGATACCAAGAGAAACTAACGCGCGTCGTGTAAAGCTGCCAAAATTAGACTTGACAGGATGTTCATACACCGTGACGACAGGAGGAAGAATTCAACTCTCCTGGCAACCCAACCAAGAACTCGGAATGATGTGAAACCTCGTACTATGCATGTTTCATGATCTCTCCAGGAATTAGTAAGCACCAAACCATGAGTAATACTGCATTTGAACGTCTATGATAACATACTTTACAGTCTAAGGCATATACCAGGCATATACCAGGCCTCATGTATTAACTAAACCGTGGGTGTTGAATATATAGAATTAACTTAAAAAATACTGTTCACCAAATCAGTAACATGTGAACGCCTTCCTCCCCACTTCACCCCTATGTTTTGTTCTGAATTTCATAGTTTGGTTAAAAATAATGTATTTGTGTTCTGTGTGTGGATGAATGTTTATGTGAGTGGAGCTTCTTGTCATTTTCCTAAGGTTCAAAAAAGCTAAATTTTCGAAAACAGCAAATATATTCACTGATACGAACGCAGTTGAATTTAAAAGTTGGGATTTCTGACAGAAGCATTTTGTAGGATTTTTGATAGAAGCATTTTGTAAAATATTGTTTTGAACTTTGTTGTTTCGTTAGATTCACTCACTATCTTAAAATTTGTACACTATTGCTTTCTCGATCTAGCAAGGCATACTTGCGAATAGCCTTTGGTAAAACGAAAAAAAAAAATGCTATAAGAATATTACCAGTTATAAACGTACGATGTCTAATTTACTTTCCAAGTGAAATGTGTAGCGTTGTGTTGGGCCTTTAAAATACTTACCAAGCAACACAATATTAGTGTATAGAGTTGTGTAGGTGAACCAGTTTGGGCCTGAAAACATAAACGTATTATATTTTTGCTCAATAACTTCAAATTATATGATTTTCTACGAAACATACATAGTTGAAGTTGCTTGTTGACAGATATGTTGAAAATGCTATTATTATTATTAGACTAAAATTTTAATAGTGCTTGGTTTCTTTTGCCTTGAATGTGGTATAACTTCATATGAGTGATGTACAAGATTGAGAAGAAAGTTCAACCATGAAAGAAAGAAACGGCCCATAACGTTACAGCTATACACATCAAATATTGATGGCTTATCGACCAAATCCATTCCACGTCTACTTTTGATTTGAAAATCATGACGCTGTCTACATTGGCTGTTTTTTTTGTCATTCAATTACATGATACGCCTTTTCGAGTACAGCGATTTCTGGCGTTGTCATGACGACCAAACCACTTGCATTAAAAGTTCGGCATCTGTTCCTGAGGGACTAACGCATTTTTGGTATGTTCCATACTTATGTGCAAAGGGCTGGTCTCGCTGGGCACGTGCCAGACATACAACAAAGGAAGCCGGGAGACTAGCGGAAATCCCCTGATCAGCTGACAAACCACGTATGGGTGGGGGTCTAGTGTTGGGAAAGGGAACGATTAAGAATAGCGTCAGCTGTCGAGAATTCATGCATCATCGCACCCGCAGGATCTTAATGTATAGGGCTGCGCACATGAATTGAGTGTGGAAACTAACGCTCTAAAATCTCCAAGTTTATATTCGATGCAATTATTTTAGAGTTCTTCGTCCCCATTCCACAGCCCTTAGCCAGAGCGTACATATATTACAGGAACATTTTAACGGAAAGTTCAGTTAATGATTGTACAAGGCGATTCAAAACAACTTCAAATGGACAAGAACTATTCACTTATATAAAGTATTTATATGAAACAGAACTGCAAGTAATACACGGAGGCACAAACTTTAAATTCACTATATTCCTATATCAGTTAAGCCTCTTGTCCTCGGAGTTTACGCGGATTCTACCCTTTCACATACTTAAAGTAATTCCATCTTCTACATTTTGAATATTCCTGTATTTTGGAAAGATTCTAGATATTTCGCAAGAGAAAGTTTTCTAATAAAGTAGAAATGTACTGAATAAAAAAAACGATAAAACTGGCAAAGCTAGCCTACAAAAACCTGCACATTCCCGGTTACCAGAACAAAACATTACTCTTCCCAACGTTAATAATACTTTTAAGTAAATAACTACCGCAAGAACAATGTTCTAACACAACTCCTGTCGAGCATACATAAAATATTCTGTTGACGAGAAATGTTCTTTTATTTATCAACGCCACTTCTGCACTTGATTTAGACGTGAAACGTGCGTCAGTAAGAATTTAGATAGACTCGTCCACAAATCTTTGTATACGCCACTAAAATATTCCTAAGTAATTCAGTTATATTTTCACTGATATGTTCCTTAGTAAGCCAAATTACCTCGGATCACTTAAGTGAACTGCCATGAAATTTTCAGTAATAAAAATGAAGTTTGTTTCTTCAACTTTAATATATACGTTACTACAGTGGAAACTCATTATCCCTACTTTTTAGTGAAGCGAAAGAATGAGTTTTCCTACCGTTAATTGACAAAATAAGTTAGTATTTTCATATATTATGCATTACTAACAATGTATCGGATCTTGCATAATTTTTGAGTTATATTTTACAGTATAAACTTACTCTAAAAATATATTCTTATAAGTGGGTTCAACGTTTCCATAACTAACGTTTTTTCCAGATTTGTCTAATTCTGGTTTATGACAAGCGAGTTAAATATCGTAATTTTATAGCTGAGAAAGATATTTTTCATAAACATAGTTTTAAGAGTTACCACCATAAAAGGTATTTTTAATTGGTTAAAGGAATTGCTATAAAGTAATATATTAAAAAATTAGTAATTTTATGTGAAACTGTAACGCCTCCAAAAGGAACATGTCTAATATGAGCAGTTTACGTTTGCAATAGAATTTAAACCATTGTAAATAGAAACTTAAATCAATAACGTAAATAAAAATTGAGGCAATGTCGTTAAACATCTAGCATGAAACCAAGCAATAAGAGTTCATCTAGCTACGTTTTGAAAGATGCCAAACTAGCAACATTACTGTTAAACTTTTACTTTAATTCTTTAAAATGGCTCTTTTCTTACGAAATATGATTTTGACTAATTGATATATAATGTTATTATTCCATGATAAATTTAACACTTCTCCTTAAAATTATACTATTACCCTTTATAGTCAACATTTTGTTTAATAACTGTCTTCCGGTAGTCTTCTCCTCTGGAACTTGACGTTTATAAAATTTTCCCTCTCCTTTCGTACTTTATTTTAGGGTTAGGTATATCATGCCAATTCTAAAACAATCTTCGAAATATTACATTTTAAAAACGCACTTTTTATACTTTAGCCTTATATAGCTCTCATTTCTCTAAGTGATTGACTGCGTCAGTTGGTAACTCGACAGTAGGTCATTTGTCTGGTGAGAGCACGTGTCATTTCTGTGACTTTCTACGTACAAGGCCAAAATAAAATTTTCTTTCAATATACGTTCACAGTCTGTAG